GCCGCTATGCAGACAGCAGCAGCGCAGACAGAGACGCCACAAACAGTAGCAGAGCTTCAGCAGAAGGTGCGCTATCTCCAAGAGCGGCTACGCCGGAGATCAGAGAGCCCAACAAGCGTTATGATACGCCAGCTTGCTAAAAGCGCTCAGCTTGCAATACAAATAGTAACAATACTTACAGAGGAAATTAAGAAGCTACGTAAAGAAAACTAGCGCCAACGACAAAAGCAGGAGCGGCAGCGTCAATATATCGCTTCTGGTGGGGTGCTCCAGGTCTAACAGGCTCAGCAGATCATTGCAGAGGCAGAAAGGGTGGTGATGGGGGGTGACCAGAACCAGACTGGCGAGCGACGTCAGCGCGCGCCGCCAACGTGCACGAAGTGCCACGTTCAAGGACATACTCAGACTTCATGTAAAGCTAGATAAAGAATAATATCTTTTAATTTAATTTAATTTTATTAAGTTGCTGTAGAGCAATTGAGTAGAGCGTCGCGTCAGGTTTGGTGGGGTGGGCCACTTACTGATGTGGGCCGCTTACTGATAAAACACGTTATCGCGACTTGGTGTGTAATCGTGATTGTGATTGTGATTATGTGACATGTGCTCTCTCTTTTCTCGAGAGTGTTTGAGAGTTTATCATTAGGAAGTTTATCTATGTATAAATAGCCTTTTTTTCCTCTCTTTCTATTCTCTGTTCCTCTCCTTTGCGATGGATAGTTCTTAAATAGTTTTCGCATAGTGGTGTGTGTAGCCTTTATTCAAAACTCTACTTGACATTATCGAACATTTATTCAGAAGAAAAAAAACTAGCCCTTTAGCTAGATTACATATACTGCTTAGAGCCTCCAGGTACAATATATTCAATCTAACTGAATCTAATATTTCATCTGTTGTGTTTGTTTGACAAGTACCTCTGTGTGCATGTATCATCACAGCGCCATTCATTCCTCAACGCACTCAGCTACACAAATCCCCAATCTACACTCTACAATCCAACCTACCAATCCCAACTTACCAACTTGATTTTATTCCTACACATGCCATACTGCATCCTATACCCCCATACCGCCCCCCCGAAATCCCATAACCCTTCATACTCCACACGTCGACACATCATGCCCATGCCCATGCCCATGACCCTGCCACCTATCTATATAAAACACGGCATATAAGCAAGGATGACGTATAAATATCTCCACGCACATAACCCGTCCCGTGTGAACCGTGTATCAGATCCCCTAAGAGTCCGAGTCATGACAAATTTTTCCTTTCTTTTTACCTTGCTTGCATGCGGTTAGGAGGAGGATGTAGGGGTTTGCGGGTTCATGCGTTTGGAGAAGGGGGGGCGGAGTGGAGTGGAGATCGCGGAGCAGATTGCGGAGGAGATGGATGTATGATAAGATAGGATAAGATAGGATAAGATAGGGGCGGAGAGAGGAATGGTGACTGGAGCAGTGCTGACTGGATGTTGGAGAGTGGAGTGTAAAAGGGGGTATGGAGCAGATGTTAGAGGGGGCTTTTTTCTTTAGGGGGCAGTTCCTGGTAGGAAGATGGGGTTGATAGCGGAATGTGGGGGAAAGGGGGTGAAGTGGAAGTGCACGTGGAGTATGAGGCTGGGTTTTTTCTTCTATGGACTAGGAATATATGGTGTGATAGTACTTGGGAGAAAGCGAGTATTAGATATTTCCAAATCGTGGATAAGTGTTTGTGAAACAGGGGCGTGTGGCTACATTGTTTGTTTCAACGTATATTTAGATGCGGGCCTGCATCTAAAATACTTGCGACGCTGGGTATATTATGTGAAAGGATTGAGAAACTAAGACGACGAGACCTTCTAGGATACAGTATGGGAAAAGGAAATTCAAAGTTTTTGGAACAAAGAGGGCCACAAGATTCGAGATAAGTTATGCCATGCAGAGAGAGAAAAGAAGGGGAGGATTATTCGTAACATGAGAGTTGGGGGGAGGTGATTTGAGGAACCTATGATGTAGCGACATGTGTTTTATGCGGTTGGACCACGAGTCTTTGTGGCTATTGCACTTACTTGGCTGCTCATGATTACTCAATCATTAACTTTCTATGCTATTGATATAGAAAGGAGGGGTATATGATTGGAAACAAAGAAACATGATACTACCAGTAGAACACTAGAACACTAGACCCTTTTCGCGCCTTGTAGAAGAAATGGAAGGTCAGCGCCGTGGAGCCATTGCCTAAGCAAGGCTTTCGCACGGCCTATCACTCTTGCATCAATGTCATGTATCCAACGCATAAACTCAACAAGGTACAGAAAGCCTAGTAGCATTCCAGCTGAAGCCTACAGATAATCTACATTCGACCACGTCGATATGCTTCCTCGACTAGCGTGTACCATGATTGGTCGAATTGCGCCATGCGCCAATCAGACAGCTAGCCAGTTTCCCCACCATGTAGGCAACCATCAGCTCAGGCGCATTGACGTTATTCAGCTATTCCCTTCTGACGCTGTCCATTATTGCCTCCAGACGCATATAAAATATACCCCACGACCAATACACTTGCTGCAAATCCACAGCTCCTGCACCGCCTCCTGTCACAATGGCGCTCGATCTCGCTTCCGCGCCTACCAATCTCCAGCTGCAGAGCCCTCTCTTTGGCATCCTACCGGGCGAAATCCGCAATGAAATCTTCGAATTGGCCCTCATGCAGGAGGAAGACAATGCAGAGGCGTACCCCGAGGATTCATATTGGTACAGACCGGGGTTCGCTGGACCGCACAAAGGAAGTAGTGCGTTACTGCGCACATGCAGATTGGCGTATAAAGAAGGCCAGAAGGTGTTTCTGAAGAACCTCGAGTGGGCGTTTTGGTTCGGTATGTTGGACAGAATCTCCAATACATCTACTCCCGGTACTTATATTCATTGCAGATCGTGGCCCAGAAGGACGCACAACAAAAGACGCATGTGAACGCTTCTTCAACAACCTCACTCCGCAGGCTGCAGAGGCACTGCAGAAAGTTCGCTTCTTCACACAAATGTACTGGCTCGAACGTGGCCAGAATACCTTTTATTTATTTTCTCTTGCCAAGTTCCGCCCGACCCAACTCACAATCACCATACGCTACTCGGACTGGTGGTTCTGGGAGAATGACGAGCCGCTAAGGATGCATGAAGATTGGCTGCGTTACTTCAGAGGAAGCCCTGGACTGCGCACGCTCAAGGTCGAGTACGAGACGCTGGAGTGGAAAAAGGAGGAGATGATGCGCATTGTTCGGCGGAACAAGGCATGGAAATTGCCCGTGAGAAGAGAAGGTGCCCGTTTCGAGGACCATGACTTGGAAGGCTATCTCAGCGCCGAAACGACGGAGCTCAAGGAGTGGACGTGGAGGGGAACGAGTAGGCTTGGGGGCCAGACGTGGAATCATCATGGCGCTGCTGATACGGTGCAGTACGTGGTTGTCATGGACACTTGGAGGTTCGTCGAGGGTCAGCTGAGTGAGAGCGAACTAGAAGGCCGTGTGGCCCCATGGTCCAGTATGTGGTTGTCATGGAGTTTTCGAGAGTCAAGTTACTGAGAAAGAATTAGAAGACCGCCTGGCGTCATGGAGTAGGCTTCAAATGCGAGGTCGCGCGAGGTATGGAGGGATTGCAGGACGCCGTGTGATGTGAATTCGCAGTGGGTAGACTCCTCTAACACGCACTTGGAACAAGGGCTACTGATTGGGCAGACAGAGGAAGTATTTGCAGGTTGTCCCTAGATTTCTTTCAGCATGAATTAGTGTCTATTTTATACGTGATTTCAACGTGCTGAACTAGTGCATTTTACAAAATAGTACAGTACAATAATAGAAATTAATAGTGAAGTATAACACCATACACAATATGTAGTATAAACCTTATTATATGCACTGTGAATACTTGCGAAGAGCGAGAGCTTTTAGCAAACGCGAGAATTCATTCATGTATTAGAATCTTCTCGGTGGCTTATTGCTTGCAGTAATATATCCATCTAACCTAACGAGTCTATCCATACAGATTATTAAAGAAGATGGTTTGCTCCATTTTCTCAAATCCGACTATCTGGTTCTGTGCCGTCCGGCCAGACGACGACGAACAGGTCATTGGTTGGCGGAGCTTGCCGAAGTCTTTCCACGTGAACGCCCTTAGCGACATGCTCTTCTTCACAAGTATTCTTCGAGGGCTGAAACATACCACACAACATCTATGTCGTGGAAGAACAACTGCTCTACAAATGACCTTCTACGACCTAGCAAGCGACAATCATTGAGAGTCCTCGCTCTCTCCCGGCATACATGGGCCACCCTGCTTGATGCAGCACGCATTGCGACGCGTCTCCCACAGTCCTGTAGCAATATCAGCAACCTCCTAAGTCGAACGCCTTCTTTACCTGAAAGGCAAGAAGTTGATGAGATTGATGAAGGCGCTGTGTTGTCCTTGGAAGGATATTCACGGTGGAGAATTACCTCCTCTCGATGCTGCGATCTCACATCAAAACTCAAAACTTCCCCCCGACAGAGAGTCAATATCGGAGTGCCTCATCCTATCTTCTGCGACATTTCCGATGAGTTTGCTCAGGCTTGGTTGGGCTTCGAACATATGCAGAATTGCTCATCCGGTGGCAACTATCTCGCCGCTTTCGTCTTAGGCTGGTCTTATATTCTTTCCGCTCGTCTTATTGAGCTACGCAAGAAGACGACAGATGATCAAATCATATATACCGATAAGGAAGCGAGATACTATTGCGATGACATAAACCATCCTTGTGACGGTTTCACGATCCCGATTGGTAACGTGAATGCGAACGAGTGTCGGTGGTGGGCGGCGATTCTTGCAGGAGATGGTGGCTGGCGAGCAACTTTCAACCGCTCTGGCAAAACGTACTATCCTCCGTGGGAATGCCACTTGAATCACAAGGCACGGTTCAATATCCAGTACGAAGGAGCCTCCCGTCTATCACAGGATGTGACACATCCACCGTCTTCTGGTGAAGCACAGAAATATCTTTGCAATTTTGCTCGGTTGCATAACGCTTACGATCAACTTGTAGCTGCCTTCGTTGCAGCGTTAACGATACCGAGTCATCTTAGGTTTGGTGCGCCCGTCACCCTCCCTAAGCCGAAGCCCATGGAACACAGCAGGAGACAAGGGTCGGTATGTGGAACATACGTTCCATCTACAGACCAGCTTCCTCGTTTCATGTTTCTGGCATACATGCCTAATATATTGCCTTCGTGTTTGTTTGGCTGTTTTTGGGACCCCGACGTATATTGCAATGTAGCTGGCGAATGGCTTCATCCAATCTTGAGGGAAACATTACCACCACTTATCCAGGAGAAGAATTACGAGGTCATTATCAGAATGATGGCTGCCCGTCAGCCAAGTTCGGCGCCACTATGGTTGGGCGCAGCAATAACCGGAATGCTACCGAGGACACTATCCATTCTGTCCAGTTTTATGCCGCGAAGCTGCCCCGAAGCGGCTGTGTGGATGAATTGCAGCCAATCATTCATGGATCCGATGTTCCACAAAGAGCTCCGAATTTCAGATAATGCCACACTAGGAAGAGTCATTTGTCGTGAGGATGAGTTTCGCCTCTTATACCTTACTGACCTCGAGTCTGACCGTTACGGAATGCCGCCCCTCAGCCCTTATCCTCCTTTTGGAGTCGTCAGAATGAACGAAACTGCCCTTGAAGTTCGATTGCACGCATTCTGTGGACATGGACTTGATTACTGCCACTGGGCTTGGCGGAACCATGGCCGACCAGATCTGATCGATGTTGGTAACTCAAGTTTCGCACCCCGCTATTCTCTCGAGCAACGTCCTAGCATGCAGTCAATTGCAATGACTGGGCTGCGCCAGTTCCTATTACGGCTCCGAAAAAAGTCATATATATTTTGCCATGTACTCCTAGGCTTAGCATGGCCCTTGGAAAAAGCTCTTCCGTGTGAGAAACTATCCGAAATCGCGACTCGAAATGTCTTTTTCTGGACGTTCTTCCCCGACGGCGTGAGACCAGATGAGATGCCGCTGTGGAGACATGAATGGCTTAATATTTTACTAGACCAGGAATCGGATGATGAAAGTATGTCAGTCACATCAAGTGAGGAAGCGTAGCAGGCTGTTTCAAAGAATCGAGTTGTTGGTGAAGGAACACATCTTCGTATCCTGGATCCCCTAACCTATAGCAATTCAACGTGCATAGAGGTCCCTTGACGTCTTTCTTGCAATAAATGCCGCGAAAGCTTACTGATAGGGCTGCGAGTAATTGATGAGCCGCGGCCAGGTTTTTCTAATTGTAGAACTCGGAGAGCAATAATGCCATTCTTTCTCTTTATTAGCAATCTCAAATCACTAGTAGCCAATATGTCTTAATGAATTAGGGAAATCCACTGTTAGTATTCTTGCTCAATGAAATAAATTCAAACCCACCGTCCTAAGTTATCTGTGCTTGTGGTGGTTGTTGCCAGGTTTTTAGAACAACTTTCGCACTGAGTTGATCCTGCTCCAGCCTCCAAGCTCTAACCTTTTACGACATAGCAGGGTAAGTAGACTTACTAATCTAGACTAGCGTGTTCCGTTCGCGAGACAACATCGTAGTGGTGGCTAAAACAGATAGTCTGCACTTGTTTGAATCACGGTCCCATATCTTAGCAGCCTGCTTTGAAGTTTACTGCGCTCTGTATATCCTTTCTTGTCTATCTCACGTTACATCTCAGGCCAGCTCGCTGTGCTATTCCGCACTCGTGCCTACGCCGCGCTCTGCCTGGCTATTTCGGCCCCAACGGTATCGAGCCATATACAAGTGTTCTAAACAACCCCGCTACAAGCGATCTCCAATGCCTCGCGAAATATATGCTCGCCCTCGCTTGATACGCTCCGGCAAGAATATCACTACTTACAGGCGTGTTGCTAAATTGAGATTACCATCTGTTTCATTTCTCTCACATTCGCAATCGAGCTTTGCTCGCTCTACGGCCAGCTCAAGACGTACTGACTATTCCGTCGCTGCAACCGATCCAAAACAAACTGCGCGGCTATGGATGAGTGTCATGTCCTATAAAACCGAGACAGAGAATTCAAAGGGAGAGGAGAGAGCGAAAAGCACAACTTTAACATCCGCCTCGACCTCCGGCCAGCGGAGGCGGCAGACATCTGCTACATCCGAGTCAAGCCTCAGGACCAGGAGAGAAATAGCCGCCAAAGTTACTGATGCCGACTTCATGGAGGCAGTTCTAGAGTCATATGGAATTATGATCCAGAACAAGGGTGTAAATAAAGACCTGTGCAAGCACTTTCGTATCCAGGAGCTACCGCACGATCCCAAACGCCGCCTCGATGCATACAAAGAGATTTTCGCGCTCGACAGCTGGCTAGAACCGGAGATTGAGCGAATCCAACGGGAGTACAAGGCTATGAGGCTATATGGGTGCAACGAGGCTGAGCATTCGGCATACGCCTTGCGAGACATATTCCTTGACGAACCTCGGTATCCATGGTCCACGGAGGAAGATAGCGATCAGTGCTGGCTACCGGTCCGTATGCTGCAACTTGTTCGGAAGCTGCCACAGGATGAATGGCTCGCCCCTCCACTTATTGGTTTGCTCAACAAAAGATACGAGTGGGACATTCGTCCAGACTGTGCGTATCACGTCTCCCTCCAGGCGTTCCAACCCGGCTTTCGTCCCAGCGTCCGAAAGCATGTTTCTGTGGTGCAAATGCGAGCCTTCTGCCCTTATCTGACCATCGAATTCAAGAAGGACGATGAAACTCTCGCTACGGCCCGTCATCAGGTTGCTGTCGCTTCGGCAATGGAATTGTATAACCATTATCGTTTAAAGAACTACGCACTTCATATGAGTGGAGAACGGTGGTCAGAGGAGGATAAGAGCCAGATGCGGCACTACGGCATTACATTCACTGGGTCAACTTGGGACTTGTGGTGCACAGTACCGAGGACCTTTGAAACATGGACTGGCTGTGAGATGTCCACGATATATTCTGGGGACTGCTGCATCCGTGCAGGCGTCCAAAAGCTGGTGAGTATCGTCAACGACATTCATTACTGGGGGCTGGCGATCCATGGTCGATCATGTAAGGCTGATATTGCGGCCAAAATCCGCTCGGATCTCGATGCAGACACCGATCATATCAGTTTTTCTTAAAGATTAAAGATATTCACTGTTAGAAATATCGTGACCATTGATTTCGTTTCTGGTTACTCATGTATACATTTTGCCATGTAGTATTCATCTAGGAATGAGAATCAAACGCAGGAAACGACTCAGGCTTAGATCCTGTATCAAAACGGTTCCGTAATTTTCTGCTTTCATTCCCGTCCAGTCAACATCACAGACTGTTGCTTAAGAAGGTTACTCTACTTGGCTCTCGTGCGTTGCGATGCGCGGCTACATAAAACCACTCATACCACAAACCAACGAAATCCAGCACAGTTAATGTACCGCCTAGCCTAAGCATATTGATACAGTTCATCACAAATATTCTTTGCGATAATTGCAAGAACATGGGGCAAAAATGTGACGACGAGGCCATTCGAGCGAGGAATAAAAGTGGGACAGGCATTGTGTTTGGCTCGACCACCGGACTGATAGCTTTCCCTGACTGCCTTTCTTGATTTTACTGTTGGAACTGGTACGGTCAATTCAGGTTAATTGTACGCCAAATTGACCTCTTGCCAAGTATCATAATTATGCCAACGGATGTAATCATGACCGAGAGCTGGACTGGAGTTATTGAGTAGGACCTACCAAAACGATGCGCGTACATGGCTGGTTAATATGAGAACCATCGGGTTTAGATCGAGAGTCAGCAAATGCCTTCAATTTCCTTAGAGACACTGTTTGCGTCCGGGTACTCGTCGCGCCAGCACTTGGAAATGATTTTTCCGAGCGGTCCAAGGGCATCGGTCGGTGGAAAACTCCCATTCTTGATACATTTATCGATTTCGTAATCCTGAAGATCAGGGTACGGGCTCTGACCTGTTACGATTGTGTATAGCGTAGAACCGAATGCAAAAATATCGGCCTCGACACAACAGGTATCCCCGGGTCTCCTGTGACTCTCTGTAACTATTACGAGCAGCGGAGATCCATCCAGAGAGGAGCCAGCAAAGTCCGCAAGTTTCGCATTGAGATTTTCATCGAGCAGGATATTGAATATGTTCAGGTCGCCATGGACTACCCCCCTTGCATGCACAAAGCAGAGCGCGCTGATGATTTGTTGCGCCCACCGAATCTTCTGTTCGTAGTCGACTTTGTTCGCGCGAAGGTAACCTCTGAAATTGTAGTTGTGCACATACTCAAGGCGAATACCAGTATCATAGGGCCCAAGGTATCGTACGATGTTTTCATGTCCGCCGTGTTCTTTGAAGCGCTCGTAAATGCGCCGTTCCACGTCGATATCGGCTGTGCCCTGACTGAGCGGGGACTTGACAACAGTTTGCGAGGCCTTGTCAAAAAGTATCAAGCCTGAGATACCATGTGCCAAGATGTTGTCACGGGAAAAGCCAGCGGGATATCGCAGGATTCCATCATCACCCATGGTGTGAGTTCAAAAGGCACGTCAAACACTAACGAGTAGGATTTCAGAAGAAGACAAGCAAGCGTCAAGCAAGAGGCACGTTGGCGAAGGGGCACTCAAGGTCAGGGAATGGGGCTCGCAGCAGTCTAGGGGGCTTGGCAATACTAACTAGCCCCACCACAAAGTGCGCGCGACCACAAAGTGCGCGCGCGGCCTCACCAAAACTACCTTAAAAACGAGGCTATAGAGCCACACCAAATAGATATTATCACGATATATTTTGGTGGTGAGATCAATAGGCTTTAATATATATATACAGCTATAGAAATCGAGACGGAGTTCTAATCGCGCGGCCGCGACGCGAGGTTGGAGGTGGTGAGCTTGCAGCACCTCCCTGAGGCTCCTCACCACCTTGAGGCCTCGCGATAGGCTTCTTTTTTTGAGTAGCCTTTGCAGGAGCCATGAAGCTCCGTTCTCCTACCCCT